CGAAAATGAAAAGATATACCCAACAATTATTTATTGAGGAATTACACCTACACCTGATTTTAAAATATCATTATCATAAATCAGGTATCTAGTTTCATAATACAAAAATCAGGTTTTAATTCAATATTTTAATTATTAATTATACATGTTTCATCTACCTTATCTATTCTCACCGTCGCTTTCTCTGCCTATTCTCCTCTTTGTCTCTCCACCCCCAATCACCCCCATTCCTCCCAAACCAGTTCTCTGGTACTTCAAGCAGTCATGCTACTGTGGATTGTGGATCTGAAGTTGGTGGATTGCGGATTGCGAATCTGAAGTCGTACTACTGCGGATTGTTGATTTTAATCACAATGATTAGTGGTGGTGGTACTGCAGCGGATTGTGGATTTGAAGGTGGCGATGGTGGTAGATGTTTTTGTGTGGTTGTGGGTGGTGGAGTTGGGCATGCTGTTGTGTGTGTACTGATGTGTGTATTTTGTGTTCTGTATTGTTTTGGCAGTGGTGGTGGCGATGGCGACTAGTGGTGGTGATAGTTGTTTGTGTGGTTGCGGGTGGTAGAGGTGGGCAATCTGTGGGTATGTGTACTGATCTGTGTGTGTTCTGTGATATTTTGGCGGTGGTGGGAACGGAGGTCACTAATGGTGTGGTGGAGGTGTGTGTTGCGGTGTAGTGGTGGTGTTTGATGGCGGTGTTGTGTACGATGTCGTGATGATGATCGTGGGTGGGATGAGATGGACGTAGGTGTGACCAATTATTTGGTTGATTGTGACCAACAATTGGTTAATTTTTGATAAATTAATAATGTGTGACCTAAAAATTGTAACTGTGACTCACATTTTATTAAGTTATAATCGAGTTGTGACCAATAAAAGTAATATATGACCTATAATTTGATATTTTGTGACCATAAAATAAGTTACGTGACTTATAAATTTTGTGATTTGTGACCGATGAACAAATTGTAACTTTTAAATTTTTAATTTATGACCGATAAACAAATTGTGACCTATAAAATTTTTGAATTGTGACCAAATTGCATAGATCTGATACTTTTATATATTTATTTATAAAATATATAATTAATTAATTAAATTAAAAATAAATTTTAAGCATTTTGGGGCTCTATTATAAATAAATTTTAAGCATTTCGGGGCTCTATTACTGAGAGTGAAAGCGCCAAGAAGTTCCTTGAGAAAATTAAGCAATATTTTGCTAAGAACGAAAAATTGGAGGCGAGTAACCTTTTGGCTAAACTCGTCTCAATGAAGTATAAGGGCAAAGGGACATAAGAGAATACAGCATGGAGATGTCTCATCTCGCATCGAAACTCAAGTCGCTTAAGTTGGAACTATCTAAGGACTTGCTTTGCACTTAGTTTTGATCTCTTCCTGTACACTTTGGGCAA